TAGGTGAGAGGCATGCGCCACCACTCTGGCTAACACAGCTCTTCATGATGTATGACCATGAGTTACAAGGAAGAGGAAAAGGACAGGCCAGACAAACCTGACCTCCCTAAAGCCAACTCTCCCCTAACCAAAGCTAAGCTAAAAAGCACTGAGTATTTCTGGACTTGTGAAGACTGAAAGAGAAAGGCTGGACTCTAACCTGTGGCCTCACCTGCCGCAGTAATTCTTGCTGTTTCAACCGCAGTCTCTCCTTCTCCATCTGGAGCTGCTGCAGTTGCATCTGCTGCTGCTGGCTGGAGTTGCCACCACCCAGGACACCTCCCTGTGGGCTCTGGGGAGCCAAGGGTGGCGGCTGCTTCACTGGAGCGCTCTGAGTGATTCTCTGGTTCATAGCTGAAATGAAACAAAGATGTGTCCTGAGAAACTAGAAAAGGATAGCTAGGTATGCAAGAGCACAGATGGCCTGCCAGACAGACATCCCTCAGTAGTCACCGCATGACAAGTGTGATGGCTTTGGCTCACTGCTGCCTCTACAACTTACTGAAGCCCTAAAGCAAATGGAACTTGAATAGCACCAGGAATCAAAGCATATGCAAAGTGGCAAAGCTGTACAAATACAGTTAGAGGGGCCAGTGAGGAGCTTGGCAGATGAAGGTATTTGCCACATGTAAAGCAGGATGGGATGGCACACAGCTGTAATCCCAGCACTCCTGCTGGGAAACATGAGGCAGAGGCAGGAGAATCTCTAGGAATCTCCCAGTGGGTTGGGTAATCTCAGGACACAGTGAGAAACTGTCTCAAAAATAAGATGGAAAGAGAATTGATGCCAAAAATCGTCCCCTGACTTCCATACAGAATGTGTGGGCATGCATGCACAACCACTGAAAACACAAAGCTGAAATCTTAAAAACAAAAACAAAAACAAAAACAAAAACACAAAGCTGCAGAGACTTTCTACAAAGGATAGGAATTTAATCAACAGCTCAAAGACCACTTTTTGAAGTGAAGTCAAGTAACAAAATAACCCTTGACTATTAATGCATCTCCACAAAGCAAATGTGCAACAGTGACCCATTGTGCGCCTCTTCCAAGTGAACTTGCAAGCAAATGGGTCTCATGACTATAACCTGGGCATATTGCCAGAAAAGTCAACTTTTTGTCATTGAACCCATATGATCCATTTGGACTGGTTTATGTACCAGTGGAATTCCTTTTATTTGTTTACGTACTTAGCTCTGTGTGTGCCACTGTGGGCCTGTGGAGATCAGAAGACAACTTGCAAGAGTCTGTTCTCTCTTCCATAATGTGAGTCCAGGGATCAAATTCAGCTCACCAGGCTTTGTGGCAATGCCTTTACCAGCCAAGTCTCATGCCTTAGCCATCTTTTATCAATCTTATAGCATCTCTTCAAGAGTATAAAAAGAAACACTTCTCAACAACAGGGGCAGGATGCCTGATGCTTTACAAGGCCATTAAATAGAAAGCAAAATTAAACCACTCTTTAGCTACTAGCCTCAAGGCAAGCTCCTTGTATTCCCCCACCCTCTTGAGCAAACCAGGCCTTCCCACTGTCCAGTTATAAATCTTCCTGGGTTGTGGGGCTGGCTGAAAGGGCACTAACATTTGCCTGTCTGTGAAAGGCCCAGGGTTCAATCCCTGTGGTAGCTAAATGTCATCTGTCAAGTCGATGGGTCTTGGAATAACCTAGGAGACATGCCTCTCTGAGGCTGCTTCCAGATAGGCTCAGTTAATGAGGGAGGAACCAAGCTGAACATGGGTGGCATCAACTCACAAGCTGGGTGCCCAGACTGCATAAAAGAGGGAGGGGGGAAGAAGGCCTGTAGGAGAGAAGCAGCCTCATATTCCTGCCACAGTCATTCTCTCCAGCAGCTTCCCCACTATGATGAACTGATCCCCTACACTGAGCCAGAAAAACCCTTCCTGCAGGTACCAGTCAAAGCCACAAGAAAAGTAAGATATCACAGGAGCACAACAAAAATCAACAAACAAGTGCGAAGAACAGTTGATAATAAATAATTATCTGCCAAGGGAGAAATTCTAGCTATTCAAATAAAACACGAAACAGGAACCCTACCTTCTCTCTCAACTACCCATGTCTTCTAAGATGTCAGCAGTGTGTTGGTACAGAACCAAGAACATTGAAAGAAAATCAGATCATTCTCTTACGGGGCCAAATTTCAGGGAAACCTGAGCCATTTGTCAGACTATACAGCGGTGTATTAATTTATTTCTATTTCCTTCCTTTGCTCCTATACTTCCACTCCAACCCAGATTTTCTGTGTCCCCCCTCCTTTCTTCAGTTTTTCAGTTGCATTTACACTTTTGCAGAGGAAAAACTTACCTTCGCACCCCACTTGCTGCATACCTGTATTCTGGAACAGAATCCTTCACCACTGTTTGTCAGCTACCTTCTTCTATTGTGATTTCTATGAGTGATCAACTATGTAGAAGCATATTTCTAGGTCCCCAAGTGTATACTTTGGATCTTTGAGCTCACTTACCGCTCCCCAAGTTATCACCTGACAGAAAATCTTGTTGCACCTCTATCCTCCCTATTTTCAGACAAACACTGTGACTGTGACTGTGTGTGTGTGTGTGTGCGTGCGTGCGCGCGCGCGCGCGCACAATGCTCTTACATCAGCCCTCCCCTTCTGTCTTACTTTTTAGGCAAGGTCTGTTTTAGCCAAGGTTCCTATTGCTGTGATGAAACATCATGACCAAAAGCAACTTTGGGGAGGAATGGTTACTCTTTCATATCACGAGAAGTCAGGACAGAAACCAGGAGGCAGAAGCTAGAAGCCACTGAGGGATACTGCTTACTGGCATGCTCCCATAGCTTGCTCAGCCTGCTTACTGATAGAACCCAGGACCACTAGCTTATGGATGGCACCACCCACAACAGGCTGAGCTCTCCCCTATCAATCACTAAATAAGAAAATGCTCTACAGTCTTGTGTACAACCAGAACTTATGGAGGCATTTTCTCAATTGAGGTTGTCTCATGACTTTAGCTTGTATGAAGTTGACATAAAATCATCCAGCAGTCTCTCTTGCTGTGTACTCCAAATTAGATGGCTCATAAGCTTCAAGGTGATTGTGCTGTCTCCACTTCCAAGCTTGCAGCAGAGCAGGACTACAGATGCAGTGGAAGATATCCTGCCCTTCCCACAGGTTCCAGAGATTAAGCCCAGGCTCTTGCTGCTCCTGTGGCAACTTTTAACTACTGATCCATCTTACCAGCCCTCAAAAATGAGGACCTCAGGCTAGTATTTCAGAACCCATCTCTGAAACATAGAAATACTAGAAAAACACAAACAAAAGACTTGATTACAATGCCCAAACCTGTCAGTTCCTTATTACTGAGTTTATAATAATCTGTCAATTGGATTTTAAAAAATAACTCATTTGTTTAAAACAGAATCTAAACAATGTTCACAGGATGCATCAGACACAAACCCTAAATGTGTTTCAATAAAATGGTTTTTCAAATTCATTCTTTCCTTAGAGGTTCCAAATAGTGCCAATTTGTCATCTCTTCACAGGTGTTAACCTTAAGTTCTTAATTTTGCCATATATCTTGATCATCTGAAATTTTGTTTGTGCAGGTTAAGTGCAAATGCCTGATTCACACCATGATTACATCGTTTAAGATAAGCTGGCTCCAGAGCACCTACTCGAGACAGACAGTGAGTCCATGTATTACACCCAATGGGTGTCCTGACGATGCTCACAGTACCATTTTGGCTGGTGGAAGCCTTTGAGTTGTGTCCTTGTGCTATGACAGGGGACCTGAGCAGCTTTTACCAGATTTCATCGGCACCCTCAGTGCTAAAAGACTCTTCTTCCACAAAGTCTTGCAAAATTCTCCAATTTCATTCACCGAAGGGTGAGAGATAATATATCCATCCCAGTGTGTCTTCACTTTTGCTAAATCTATTCTAAAGTCTAAATAGTTTCCTGTGTTCCTTTCCCCCCTTGTGGAGAGCAATCCTAGGGTCCCATTACTTGCTCATGTGTTTTTCTACACAATAATCTACAGTTATCATTGGTTACTTAACCTCATCACCAAGTAGCCCAGGCTGGCCTCAAGCTCCTAACCCTCATGCCTAGCATCCAAGTACTCGGATTTCAGGCATGCTTGGCCTGGCCACTGCCTTTGCTTCTTCTCCATGTACACCAGAGAGATAGGAAACCATTTACTTGTGTAAGGTAGACATGAATTCTTCCATAGGTTCATAGCTTTCTTTTACTTACTAGTCTTATCCCCTATACTGGGTTTGTTTCTGTTGTGTGGTCTAATTAGACCACAGCACTAGCGCTCTGTCTGGTGCTGCCACACAGTGCACAGCCAGTCACACAAAGAACAACCTTCACACTCAAAGAGCTAATATTAAATACTATTAGTAAGTAACAATATTAAAGAGCAGGTTGTATTTTAAAAGTTAGCTTCTAGTTTCTGGGTTTTAATTTAATGGAACTGTTATTGAACATTCCAGGATGTGCCATTTTTTAAAAGCTTTATTTTTATCTTGTGTGTATTTTCATGTCTGTGCACCATGTGTGTCGGTGCCCTCAGAGATCAGAAGAGGTTGCTGAACTCCCCGGACTGGAATTACAGATGACTGTGAGTCACCTTGTGGATTCTGGGAACGAAACCTGGACCCTCTGCAAGAGCAACAAGTGCTCTTAGCCTTGAGCCATCTCTCCAGGCCCTGTGGTATGCTACTGATTATAAAAATTTTGTGATTTCTTGGAGTTTTAACCTGCAGTAGTTAATCCTTAAGTGTCTGTATTAGGACAAGTCTGGGTCAGCTGTATGCTTCCACCATAGTATTTTCTTCCCTGTTCTTACCACTTTCAGTTTGTGGTATCTAAAGACACTGAGCTCATCTAGTAGGGATGAGTTCTGAACACCTCCCAGGATGTCCTCTTGGTTATATTGTGTTTATGGGTTAACTCCAGAGCAAACAGCTCAAAGCACAACCAACTACTTCCTCAGAGCCTTGCTGACCTCTCACCCAACAAAACTGCATTAAACATAAAATCGTTTAAGAATAAACGGGGGGAGACGGCGCTCCACTGGGGTCGGTGAAGGATCCCAACTTGCCCTAAAAACCATTGATTGGGTGTCTTTTGTCGAGATCATACCCCGAAATCAAAAGACAATTGCAAACTCCCTAAAGTCTTGGAATGAGACCCTCCACACCAGGTTGGCTAATCTGCTTGAGAACTGCCAGCGATTGACTGGGCTTATCACAAGGCCAATGTGGCCAAGGCTGGCTTGGTGGATGATTTTGAAAAGAAGTATAATGCCCTGAAGATTCCAGTGCCTGAGGATAAATACACAGCCCTGGTGGACAATGAGGAAAAGGA